CTGAGCTAGATGGCCGCTTGTTTACCTTCAAGCCTTTAAGACCCCAGACGCTATATCTTTTGATAGCCGGGCACCATCAGTTTTCTTCACCACATTTGCTTATTCACCCGCTTTGTCTTCAGCGGTTGTGTTGGGAAGGTGAGCTTCATAGAATGCCAATTTACTAGAAGAAAGTATTCTTGCATTGAGGGAGTACTTGCGTGGAAGCCCAAAGGGCATTGCTTCTTGAGGCGAGGTTTTATCTTCCAGCTTCTCATCCATGAGGGTCTTTTCTTTCTGTTTTTCCACAGTCGTATGGGCACTTCATCCACATCCCCACAATAGTTCGCTCACAGCAAGCAGAGCTGTCAGCCATTACCAGAGTCAGTACTAGAACATTTTTTTCTTCCTTGTGCACATCGCTGTTCATGTCATTATCAGTTTTCCATTACAGCAAAACGACGCACAACAAAACATTCTGTGGTTCAACCACTTCCGCGTGTATTATTCAGTGAGTGTCTTTGATTCCCCCTGGTTTTTCCGATCGTTTCTGTGTGTGCAGTCCCACTGCTGCCTGTGCTGGTTGCTGGGATAGCCCAACTTCTGACCTCAGTACAACAGGAAAGTCTTAGCCGGACAGAGGGCTGTGTCTTTGGTGGGCGGTCTTTTTGTGATCATCCCACACACTCGATCCTGTGTGGAGACTGGAAAGCTTAAGCATTGTGCTGTTGGTGAGGGGGAATGTCATTCGGAGAGGCCACTTAGCCACAGAGGACGGTGTTCAATTCAGGCAGTAAGGGTGGTGGGAACTCAGAGGAGTCGTCAGGGGGCTTCCCGGAGATGGGAAGGTGGGGCTCTGAAGTTGAATGTGGAGTAAGATCCGGATCTCTGGTTCCCGGTTGAGGCTCCCATCCCACATCAGCTGAATAAATTAACAGTTCTAAACAGGATGACCTCCAGGGCCAGGGAGGACAGTGCAGAGATGCCACATGTTCCACTGCCATTTCTGTGGCCAGTGTGGGAGTGCTGGGCCCAGAAGCTCTGATTGCTTGCCAGGGCCGCTGCCACTCCTCACCTCCGACCCTCCAACGCTCATGGGCCCTTACTGAACCTTTCTGCGAGAATAGCGAGAGCGACGGGCCTTTCCCCGCCCTCTCCCCTTGCTGGATGTGGGTGAGGAGCAGCACAGGACCATATGAGAGCAGGGAGCCTGGTGCCATTCCATACTGCTGTGAGACTCATGGGTGCCACGCCACCTTGCTGGCCCCATGTGTCACCACTGGTGACATATACAACTACATGATCTCTTAAATCTCTGACCAGGCTGTGTGTTTGCATTCATTGAAATCCTAAGATCTCCTCCCGCTTTTTGCCTGAAACCTCTCCCTCCCAAGGGAGTTATGGCATCCTCTTATACAAATTCCCCCCTGACGGGGGAACTGAGCCTAAGATTGTTTTCTGCCTAGGGTGAAACTACTAACTTCCAAGGTGAAGGACATTTTGGACACCATACTCTTTGAGGTTTGGACAGAAAACCATTACATGTTCCAAACGTTGTTGGCTTTAGAATCCTGTCCAGATTTGCCTGAAACAATAGAATGCGAGGATCAACCGAGGCCATGCATCAGAAAGTGCTTATTAATAATAATAATAATAATAGCAGCAATGAACAATTTACTGAGCAACCACAAGTGTGTCATGTACTGTCCAAAGTGCTTACATGTACACTTCACAATGACAAGGCAGGCACTATTATTACCACCCATTTTAGAGTCCAGCAAACCAAGGCCCAGAAAGACTGAATAATTTACCCAAGGTCCCACAACTAGAAAAGGGTAGAGCTAGGATCTGAACCAGGGCGGTTTTGTGTATGTTACAGCATCGCAGACATTCTAGAGAATATTGTTATAGTTACGGACCACTATTTGAGAAATAGGACAACTCTTAGCCTGAGA